ATCGAAACGTCTGCACACATCTTCCATCATCTTGTGACCTTTTGCCCTCTCTCCAATGCAAATTTATTTATGGTAAAGGGCACATAATAAATACATGATATGAGTAAATAAATAAATTTAAAGTTCGTTCTTCACAAACTGGCTACAGTCGCTTTATATGACTGGGTACTATGTTACGGATTATGCAGTTAATGCATGAAAGAATTTTATTCAGTCCAAAGTTCACAAATGCTAATACTTAAACCATTATTACTGCCGCTCATAGGCTTCGGAATAAGTACATGCCGATTTTGAGTATCAATCGTATGTAAAAAAAGTATTTCCGTTTCTTTGCCATTTTTCATCCAAGGATTTATTCACATAACAAAATGCAGTAGAAGTCTAAAACAAACTTGGAATTAAAGTTTCGAGTAGCATCCAACTTGACTCTAATTTGCCTCGCAAATATTGAGAATGTAACGATTATTTCTGCTAAGCAGCAGTGTGACTGTCAATATGCCATAACGAAGCATCTTGCAACCATGAAGTTATGACTTGAAAGATTCCACTTGCTCACATACCTAAATCTAAACAATCGACTGTAACTCTGCAATCGTCACCTTCTTCAAGCCACTTTCAGAGGACTAGAATTTGCATTATACGGTTAATAGATATTTCATCAAGCGTTTAAATTCTGGAATCAGCTGGGCAGACTAGGACTTTCGCGTTTTTGAGCTGCTTACATCGAAGTTCGGCCGTTCCGTATGACTCCAGTAATTTATTTGTCAGTGCTTTTGAGTGCACAAGTCATTGTCTTTCGCAGCAAACTAGAGCAGCAACGAATGAATTCGAGCAATTTAATTATGTTCGAGTGAAAATTTAGCTTTTACAATCTATCAAAGGGCTGATTTCCTCAAGCGCCTTCGGAGATAGGACACGCCGAGCGAAACTCAATTAGGGTACCAAGATGAGTGTAATCGCATGACATCAAACGTTGGCACCGGCACGGCATCGGCGTCCACGTCACTTCACGTATCCGCATGGTAACGCTTTCCTGACGAAGTTGTGAGGAAGCCGCCTCTGACGCTGCTACCACCGAATAGAGCCTAATTCATTTTCGGCCATGAAACCCAGGACTAATTTCATTACTCACGGATTATGTGAAAATCGTCGCCAATTGGCAGTTTCGAAAAAATTTAAAATCGATACTCGGCTTTCAGGACGATATTCATACCACCATGTCGTCGGTTGTATCTCATAGAGATCGGCGATCAAATAGTGCAACGACGTCTTCGTCATCATCGCGCCGCAGCCGTCGTCCGACATGCATGTTGAACATTATCGGTCATTTCCGGTCGGCAGCACGGATCACGGCTTCCAACATAACCACGATATCGCTTCGAGAAAGAAGACAGGAGACCTCCGACATCATGCTTGAGCTACAGGTCCAACAACAACCCGACTTCCAGGTAACCGTATGAGCATAGGAACGTGACAGACGGTAGTAGACGATGGCGTATTTTCGTGCAACCCCTCGATCCACTGTGAGTCCAGCGTCGCCGGAGCATATGCACAGCTTGCCACCAAGTTTAGCCGGCCGTGTTTACTAGTTCATACACAGACATTTGAGCAGCGGACAGCACCTGCGATATTCATCGAGATCTCACAGCCTCCGTAAGGGTACTTTGAAGACATGAGGGGAACATGAGTGTGCGAACAGAGCGCATATGCGTACATCGCGGCGAAACCGTTTGCTTAGTTTCGCCGTCTGTACATCTCGCTATTAGCCTGAAATGAGTGACGCATCCTTTTGAATAGCCGATGGTTTGTCGGCAAATCAAGCCATGGCGCCTTCACTCGGTGAAGTCGAGGAACCGAATAGTGAGGATGAAAATAAGAAAAATGTATATAATGCTCGTCTTCTCAAATGTGGGCTCAAAATCGCAACTCAGCTATCCAAATGTTGGCTTAAATTCTCGATCGAGGAAACAATGTGCGGTCATTCGTTAGCGTTGACAACTACCGCGCGGAAGTAATGTATAGAACTCTGCATCAGAGGGTCTTTCGAGGTTGATCAGACGTGCTGAAGAAATGCGACTTGGTCGGCTACCGTCTACCACCGCACAAGCCTCACCGAACTGCCGATGACCGTATGGTATTTGTTCGTGTTGGTCAACGCTTCGTCTGCTTACTCGCGGCAGGAACATGTCGACGGTGGCGACGGGAGACGATGGCTATGACAGCGATAGCCATTGAAGAGTGAAAAGAGGCAGAATTGTGGAAGACGCGCTCGGATCAATGAATTGGCCGGCGATGAGATGATGGATTGATTTTAGAGGTAGTGATGAATAAAATATAAGCCACTTTCCGTCG